ATGCGTGAGATGAATTTATTGATCAGCACCAGATTGCAATCTGGAAAATTTAAGCGCAATGAAAGCACAGAAACAAGTCTGTCAGACAGACTAAGAAAATGTTTCTGTGATAACATATGACTGTCAACAAAAGACCTAATGTGGAATGTATTTATAATTATGTCAACTTTTGAAATCTGTAGTATTTTCCTCAACAGATAATCTAGATGTGTGAGATGAATTTATTGATCAGCACCAGATTGCAATCTGGAAAATTGAAGCGCGATAAAAGCACAGAAACAAGTCTGTCAGATAGACTAAGAAAATGTTTCTGTGATAACATATGGCTGTCAACAAAAGACCTAATGTGGAATGTATTTATAATTATGTCAACTTTTGAAATCTATAGTATTTTCCTCAGCAGAAAGTTAGAAGAATCACTAATGGTAAAAATTATCCCATAAAGGATGAAAATTTTCCAGCACAGCTGTCTAGAACTCCACGTGGTTGATCAAAATAAATAACTATTTGCAACAGGCTAAAGAAAAAAGACAAAGAAGATCTACGTCAACCATAATAATCATATTAGCTTGACAGAAGCCAGCATTCTGGTATGTTAAAAGCTGAAGGTTGTACTTGAGTTCAAAGAACTTACCTCACTTATATCTCTATAGTGAACAAGGACAATATGTTCATATGACCTGAGAAGAAAACCAAGTATTTAAGTAAACATCATTCTCCAAACAATGAAAATTATGATGTTAGAAGCTTATGTAAGCTCCAAACTGAGATGTTATGGAGTGAGACATTTTATTTCTAAAAAAGAAAAAGTTATAGAGTGAGACAGTTTAGCAAAAATATTTCCATTAGCAATCACAATTCTAGACTGGAGGAAAGATAGAAATGTTATCTTAAAAATTCAGATTTTAATACTTGCAAAAAATTTTCAATTGTAGGCCCCCTTGATTGCAGGAGACTTCAATTGGCAGCAAAATTAGACAGTCCACCAGTAAAACTACAACATCACTTACGGATCTAGCATCCAAAAGCTACGCCTCTGAAAGTTGGGATTCTGCCCTCCATGTGCATAGTAACAATTCAAAGCTTCAATATTACCAACCTGGTCATGCATAGAAAATATGATTCCAAGCACTCAGCAGAGCATTATAAAGGAGTAAACCAATCTCAACAATAACAAAAGCAAATAGACGCAAGTATCCACAAAAGGATGTAAAACAAAACAATCATGCAGTTTATGCACAGTGCACATTCACTTTCTAGGCTAACAACCTATGTAATAGCATAATCTCTTCTATAATAAAAACACTAAGTACTTCTTTCATATGACTCAACCAGACTTCTGTGAAATTTCTCAATAAGAAAATAGAGTTGATTTCATCTTCATTTTTAAAGCAATTAAGCTAAAAACAGCAATGAAACCAAAATGTTTTATTTTTGTCCTAACAATTAAGAAGATCCCACTGAATTGAATTGAATCCATGAATCTTTAGAAACAGTGAGAGTTCTTGGTCTTTTAATTATTACTACCTATTACAACAATATATATACATATATATATATCAAGAGTAGAATAAAGATTTATACTACCATCTGAATTGATTTGTTCTCAATAGTCATGAGATGATCATCTTAGAGTGACATTTAGCGATATTTTAGAAAACTCAACAAGAAGGAAAAGAATTGAATAGAGAAATTCCTGAATATTTAGCGATCTCAGATTCATGCATAATTATATAAATCTGTTCATAGAACTACAGAAAAAGAAAATGAAGAGCCACTTCCATTTTGATTTCCCTAGACACGTATAAAACTCTGTTATCTTGGATCACATTTAGACAAATTGAAGCAGGGCAGCCTTGAAAAAGATTCAAACAAAACAAATCCACTATCTGTACTTGTAACTGATAAAATTCTTAACAAATCCCCTATCATTTTGGAATAAAATGATAAAATTCTTGAAGCACATCAACTTAAAAAATTCCATGGCCATCTAGAATAGACCTTTAGTCGTTCATGTGCTTCTGCAATAGCCCTTCCATCCTTTTTTCTTCGCCAACTATGACCATCTTTACGGAAGAACCGAAGCACTCTCTTGTTGAATAGATACAAAGATCCACCTATTGAAGAATTTAGGCAGTAGTATGGGCAATAGAACAACATAAAACTAAACCATACATGTGAATAGGTCAATGAATTGTCTCAATTTGAAAGAAAGCTAACAAGATTACCAGCTGGCTTTTGAGGAGGCTCCTGTGTAAGCTCATATTTTTCATGGTTTTGTAGTATAAAGAGGACTTCAGCTGGCTTTAGCCAACGACGTTTGGCTTCTTGGAACAGATACTCAATGTCATATTCTGCATCATGAGAATAAATAGCTATAAGATAACTCTTCAGCTGACAGTTAATTCACCTGAGATTCTTTGAGGAAAAGAAAATACTCATGAGAGGTTTTACCAGTGACTTTCAATCATCATTTACTATAGGATGATAAGGAACATCAGTTGCTTCCAAATTGTACTATACAAGATTATGAAAACAAACTGAGAGAATTCGCAGGAATATGTTACTCAATACACATTTGAGCCCACATTTCTAATCAATATTGTCCATTTAATCATAATAAACCAAGAATTTTCTTGCATGCGACCTGAAGATAACTTGTGAAGCCACTTACGTTGACTTAAACAAGGGGTCAACTACGATTGCTAGGCCATTAACTGAACCGTGGAGCATTGTTTTTGTTCCTTCTAAAAATATCTTTAATCATAGAAACGCATAACGGAAATGAAGTAGCACGCACAATCTTTACATGGAACTAAAAGCCCTAAAGATACTCTAATTTAGGATAAAATTCAGACAGATTCCGGAGCAGAACAGAGTTTCTCGATTATTAAACAAAATAAAAACAATAAACGGAGAAAAGCACATTTGTTCATAGTTGCAGACGAACTAACTATGTACAAACCAAAAAAAAAAAAACGAAAATAAGCATGTCTAACAATTACACAAAACAAGTGAAAGAGCACAAGAGTTAGTGGCGGTAACCTGATTGCATCATTTTCAATTGCCAATGTGAAATGAAAACTAAACGATTTGCGGAAAGAGCTCCTAACTTTTGCTCATTTACGCCAGGAGGACCTCTGACCTTCAACCTCAAGTCACTCGTCAGCTCTGAACGAGAAACTCTAAGCCGCCATCCCGCAATCTACTCCCCAAAAGCGTAGTATCATCCCCAGCCGGAACGAGACCGCATGGGACCGAGATATCGGATTGAGTTCAGGAGAAATTTAAACGTGAACAGAATCAGTGGATCCAATTTGAACCAGCTCAACCTAAACCCAAACAGCAAACTCAGGGGGAGAGAGAGAGCGCAAGACAGAGAGTCAGAGACAGGATTTTGACTTATAATTACGCCGTAACCGTACGGTTGGTTCGTTTTGAGGGAAGAGAAATTGTAAGGAAGGCCAGCTGTGTTGTGTGAGGATCAGTCCCCTGCTACCGAGCGTAGAAAAGTGCACTTTTATTATTCCACGTGGCATCCAATTATTAGTGATCCTAACCTGCTGTAGACAAAATCGCCCATCATTGGAGCGCAGCAACGAGGATACAGCGTCCACAACTCTCGTACGGTTTAAATTACTAAAATACCCTCAACCTGCCCAATGTGGAGTCAAAGTCATGGCATAATTTGGTCTTTGGAAATAAAAAAAAATCACATGATTGGATTTAAACTCATCGAGTCTTTAGTCAAATAACTCCTACTCATTTCATAGTAATGCCAAGTAAAACTTTTAATTTGAACTTGTTTGACAATATAATTGTATTTGATGTTTTGTTGATACTTAATTTTTATTTAAACTTTAAGTTTATCAAATCAAATTAATTTTATTAAAAAATAAATTCAAATGGGCCGGAGTTTGGTTTTGACGGTTAAATATTTATTTAAAAATATATAAAGTAATACAAATATATTAAAATATGGTAATATTATTTTTATATATATTTGTTAATTCTTAACAAGTTAAGTATTTTATATAATTATTTATTTACTGTATATATTTTTTAGTTATCAACAAATTATTTTAAATATTCAAAGGGGATAATAGGATATAACTTCTCTACTTGATTGAGTTTAGATTGGGTCAAACATAGGAATGAAAATTCAAACCACGTTTGGTTGAGTCCAAACTTAGCCCAAACCAAAATCATTTGTTATCCTAAATGTTTGACTTTTCATATCATTTATATAAATAAGACACGCATCAACTTGATTTTAAAATAATTTTAGAATTTTTAAAAATATATATAAGTAGATACAAAAAATAAAGAATAAAATATCTTCTTCGAAATTTTATTTTAAAAATCAAATATAATAAAAAATATATATTATATTAACATTAAAATTAACATATCATATTGATACTTAATTAAAATTTTGCTAGATTAAAAATTCTACTACTTGTTAATAAAAAATTTACTAAAATCAAAATTAATGTAGTTAAAAAATTATTAATTGTTTAATTTAAAACATTCTAATACCCGAAAATTAAATATTCAAATTAATATACATAATTTAAAAAAATTTATTTATTATTTAATGTAAGAATAGAAAAAATTAAATGAAGGTCAGATTTCAACGCAATGAACGGTTCATATCCACTTTCTATTTAAATGTGATCGGACAGTCCAGATCAAATCGTGATGAATGGTCCAGATTCACTCCCTATTTTATCACGATTGGACGGTTCAGATCAAATGCGATTGACTGTCCATATTAAAAGGGGACAGATATAAATAACCCTCTTCATACCAAACCCTAATTCTAGCCGCCAAACCCCCTCCCTCCCGCTGGAGAAGAAGACCCAGCCACTGAGAAGGAAGCCGACCGCCGTCATCGCCGCGCCGGAGCCACTTTCGACTGCCAAAAAAGGTAAAAAAAAAATTTATTTACTCGAAATTCGATTTTAAACACTCCTATAGCCAAATCGGAGTAAAAATACTAACGGATTGATCGAAAATCGCGGGCGAAGCCTGGCGACGCTACCGCAAGAAAATACAAAAAACGCCTCCGATGAGGCCCTTCCTAATTCTCGTTCTACGTAATTCTTATACTATTGTAATCACCGTTTCATTCTCTACAGGTTGACCGAAATAAAACACCCAACCGCAAAGGTGAGCCGGCGGAGCCGCCGCACTAGAGAACCCCGCTACCGGTAAGTTTCAATTTTTTGATTTTTTTTGGGCCAACCGAGGCCCCTTAACGTATTTTCTCGCAAGGATTGTCACAAAACCAATCGAATTCGGCCAAAAATAACAAAAAATAGCCGACCTAAGGCAAACTACCGCCGCGGACGGCGGTGCCGTCGCTGGAGCGCGGCGGAGCCGCTGTACCGGAGTTTCAAAATTGGCCAAAAAGGGTTCCTAACGCTGATTTTAGGTTTTTTTGGGATATTTTTAAATATTTGAAGTGCATTTTAATCCCCGAAGGAAAATTCAAGAAACCTAGGGACTACCAGTAGGCGCAGCCAAAGATTTAACATTTTGGACATCAATTTGAGTAAAAATTTCTCAACTTATTCTCTGTTATGGAATTGAAATATAATTATTAATAATAATACAGTGTTTTGGGCAATTTAGAAAATATCCATAATTAATTACAGGTCACTAATAGAGCTAGAAGTGGAAATTATTCACGGTTGATTCTGTTGATTTATTTTACAGTTTGAATGCATGATAATACCTTATTGATTGATCTTATAGTTTGAATGTATGTATTGTTTGCTTTCATGTGATTATGGTTGAATTGAGAAGTTAGAAATTAAAGGAAGTTGAAAAACTGTTTGATTAAGTGAATGGATGAAACATCTTTATTGGATATTCTGTGAGATGGTGGACGAACCGGGTACATAGGAAACTCTACCGTGAACGTTGCTTCATACTGGACGGGGTATCGAGGTTTGGTAATTTGGCGTTCATACCGGATGGGGTATGGAGATGGCCCGTTTCACCCTCATACCAAATGAGGTATCGAGATTTAGTAATTTAGTACTCATACTGGATAGAGTATGGGGACAGTCTGTAACACCCAAGTATTTTAATTTTATTCTTATTATTATTTTTATTTTAATTTTATTTTTTTTGTATTTGAATTTTTTAGATTTTTATTTAATTTAATTTGATTTAATTTAATTTAATTTAATGAAAATAAAAATAATAATAATGATAAAATTGGGTAAAAATATTATTTAGATTTAATTGAAATTGATTTTGGAAAAAAGGGGTGAAAATTTGGATTCTATGGGTGTTTTTGAAAAGATAATCGGAAACCGAGGGTCAAAATACAATTTAAAAAAGTTGTGTCACGTCAGCACCCACGTCAGCGGCCCGGTCAGCAACTCCAGCCAACCAAGACACGCCGCGTGGCAAGAAAACACTGACCAAGGGACGGGTCACGTGGGCGATCCGCGTGCGCTCGATCGGACGGCCCAGATCCGTTCCCGCGCGCACGGACAGCCTAGATCAAACATGCGCACGGACGACCCAGATTCAATCAGGCACGAATGGCCCAGATTGCATCGTGATGGACGACCCAGATTAATCCCAATTAAATTACGATCGGACGGTCCAGATTTAATCTTGATGGACGGTTGAGATTAAAAGGCAAAGGGTATAAATAACCCCACCCACACCTGACCACAAAACCCTAACCGCTAGTGCCTCGCCGGAGAAGAAGAATCAGACGCTGGAGGAGCCGGCCGCCGCCGCACCGGGGAAATTTTCGACCGTCGATCGAGGTGAATTTTCTCTCCCTGGCTCGTTTTTTGATGCTGAGTCCGCCTATGGCCAAACCAGAGCCAAACCACCGGTCAAACAGCCGAAGTCCAGCAGCGCTGCCGCGACCCCCCTCTATTTTTGCCTCCGATGAGGCCCTTCCCGGCCTCCGTTCGATGCAAATTTTATACCATTGTGATCACCGTTCTTTTCTCTACAGGTTAATCGGAGCCGAACATCAAAATGCGACTCACGCCGGAGGAGCCGCCGCACCCGAGAGCACTGCCGCCGGTAAGTTTTGATTTTTCGTGATTTTTTGGCCCACTGAGGGTCCTAGGGTTGTTTTATCGCAGGGACCGATGCAAGTTTGGTCGAATTCGGCCGAAAACAGCCAACCCGAGGCAGATCGCCGCCGCAGGCGGCGGCACCGTCGCCAAAGCACGGTAGAGCCGCCGTGTCGGAATTCTGATATTAGCCGAAAGGGGCCCTACGTCTGATTTTAGATTTTTTGGGACACGTGCAGGTACCGGTAGTGCGTTTCAGTTTTTCTGGAAAAAATTCAGGAAAATTAGAGACAGACTGTAAGCGCATTGTAGAGTCAAATTCAGACTCCGAAACAAGTAAGGACCCCTCACTCTATTTCTTATCGCAATATTAAAGCTAAATAAATAATTAAACTATACTTTGTGACTTTATTGATGTATAATTGATTGAGGTTGCCAATAGAGCCCGAGTCCGATACAGTGTTGGTCTGTTATTGTTTGATCTAATTTTCAGTATTAAATGCAGCATGATGTTTGATGTAATTATGTTATGGTCTCGTATGCATGAACTATGGTTTCTTTTATTATGGTTTGTATTATGGTGAACCCGGTACTGTATTGTCTTATTTGGTGTCAATTACTGGTTTACATGTTGTGTATGATTGGATGATTGAGATTAAGAAAAAAGGCAAAAAGGTTATGTGAATTGATAAGTGGAAAATGTAGACAGCCTGACTAGATATCCTGGGAGATGGTGCACGAACCGGGTCCGTAGGGAACCCTACCGGGAACGTGGTCTCTCATACCGGACGGGGTATGGAGACCTTATGTGTTTTGGCGCCCATACCGGACGGGGTATGGGGACGGCCCGTTTCACCCTCATACCGGACGGGGTATTGAGGTTCATGGTTTTGGCGCCCATACCGGACGGGGTATGGGGATGGCCCTGGAATCAGGTTGTAAATGTTAATGGTTCACGTATAGCAGGGACCCCCTATGGATCCCCAGGGATACTAGTAGGCTGGTAAAAGAGGAAATCTGTTTTCTGATGATTGAAATGTAAAGGTATGATATGTGTTATGTTATAAAGTGTGTATGATTTCATGATATTATAAGGTTATTGTTTTCATATGTTGTTTTCATGGATCTCACCGAGGTAAGTGAATAGTAAAGGTTTTTATGTTAATAAACGAGTTCGTTATAAATATGCTCCATTGGTCATTTTTATTTTCTACCCACCTTTACTTCCGTGGCGGTGAGATAGTGTGATGTCTTTACTGGGCTGGTGTAGCTCATCCCTTATTTAACCATTTCAGATCAGGAAGACGTTGTTCCCGAGCCCGTTTCGCAGGAAGACGTTGTTCCCGAACCCGTTTCGCAGGAAGACGGCGA